TGGAACGTAACCCCGACGAGAAGCGAGGTATGGGTGTATCATAGAATATTTTGAAAAAATATATGGCGTATTGATGCAACAATGCATTCTGCTGTTATATATTGATAAATACTTTACAGCCAGTTTTTGGTATTTTAGCCTTGGAAGAGTTTGAACAGAGGAAGGTAAAGTTAGTGATGTTGTTTCGTCACAAGACAAATGTTCCAACACCAGATGTATCTTCAAATACCAGTTACATATCCCCCCTCGCTTATGTAATTAAAGACATCCAGTATAACTTGTCACAGTCCATAATAGATGTACACTCATGGACGAAACTTAAGGAATTGGAAAATATTTGATATCACCGGTCGTCTGTATTTTTTAAGGAGACAGAGGTTGTTCACACTTGGTTATCTCGTGTGTCTTCAATAAAGGTCACTGTAATATCTTTCAGAGTTATTGTCTGAATCCCGATATACATGCTAAAAGGTACAACTTCCTTAAGTTTTGTCCATGAGTGTATGTTATCCCGTGTGTCTTCAATGAAGTTCGCTGTAATATCTTTCAGAGTTATTGTCTGAATCCCGATATACATGCTAAAAGGTACAACTTCCTTAAGTTTTGTCCATGATGGGAATGTTATCTCGTGTGTCTTCAATAAAGGTCACTGTAATATCTTTCAGAGTTATTGTCTGAATCCCGATATACATGCTGAAAGATACAACTTCCTTAAGTTTTGTCCATGAGTGTAAGTTATCTCGTGTGTCTTCAATAAAGGTCACTGTAATATCTTTCAGAGTTATTGTCTGAATCCCGATATACATGCTAAAAGGTACAACTTCCTTAAGTTTTGTCCATGAGTGTATGTTATCTGGTGTGTCTTCAATAAAGGTCACTGTAATATCTTTCAGGGTTATTGTCTGAATCCCGATATACATGGTAAAAGATACAACTTCCTAAAGTTTAGTCCATGAGTGTATGTTATCTCGGGCGTCTTCAATAAAGGTCACTGTAATATCTTTCAGAGTTATTGTCTCAATCCCGATATACATGGTAAAAGATACAACTTCCTTAAGTTTAGTCCATGAGTGTATGTTATCTCGTGTGTCTTCAATAAAGGTCACAGTAATATCTTTCATAGTTATTGTCTGAATCCCGATATACATGGTAAAAGATACAACTTCCTTAAGTTTTGTCCATGAGTGTATGTTATCTCGTGTGTCTTCAATAAAGGTCACAGTAATATCTTTCATAGTTATTGTCTGAATCCCGATATACATGGTAAAAGATACAACTTCCTTAAGTTTTGTCCATGAGTGTATGTTATCTCGTGTGTCTTCAATAAAGGTCACAGTAATATCTTTCATAGTTATTGTCTGAATCCCGATATACATGGTAAAAGATACAACTTCCTTAAGTTTTGTCCATGAGTGTATGTTATCTCGTGTGTCTTCAATAAAGGTCACAGTAATATCTTTCATAGTTATTGTCTGAATCCCGATATACATGGTAAAAGATACAACTTCCTTAAGTTTTGTCCATGAGTGTATGTTATCTCGTGTGTCTTCAATAAAGGTCACAGTAATATCTTTCAGAGTTATTGTCTGAATCCCGATATACATGCTGAAAGATACAACTTCCTTAAGTTTTGTCTCCATGAGTGTAAATTAAGGAGGGTATCCTGAAATATTATCTTTCTAATTTATGTCGCATTAAAATAATTTGTTGCAAATTAAAAATATACGAAAAAACAAAACAAAAAAAAAGCATATACTGACTACTCACATGAGCTTTTTAGATGGCAGAGCGCCATCTAGTGGAACAGAAATCAACTAAACGTTGAGTTAACCTGTTCCCTGATATTTGGCCAACCCATTTTCTTAAGAAATCAAGAAAAGTCATCCACGTACGCGTTTCGGGCACAGCGTGGTGCAGGCTGTACCTCAACGATCAAAAATTATTTGGTCCCAGTGGCTTATTGAGAAATTAAAAATATATGTACTTAAGGCCACAAACTTGCGTACATACTTTGAACATGTGAAAATGGTAAAATGTACGTCTTTATAAAAATGATTTATGTTGTTACTCTATACGAACCTCCGCCTTTGCCGGTCCCAAGCCCGGATAAAAAAGGAGGAAGGGGAGCAGTAACAAGCTCACTAAAACACCTAGGCTCAGCTGGCCATGCTGATAGTACCCTGTAAGGTCTCCAGGGATACAGGATGAGCAGCGTTTGTACTCCATGTTAGGAGTGGCTGTACATGACATCTGTTCCTCATGTCAGGCATTTCATAATGAAGCTAAGTCAGTGACCTGCCACTGAGTAGTACTCCCAGTCTTAATGACAAAGGCATTCTACTTCACCCAGTCATGATGGTTGTCAGACACCATGAACAAGCTTTACAATCTTGATACCCTAATATGATTGAGTGGAGATAAGAAAGAAGAAGAGAGTCCTTGTTCTGGACTTCTGTATGACCTATCATCAGTTTATTTCCTACCTCTACAGAAAGGACACCAATCTATCCTCTATGATAAGACGGGATTATATTGTAGCAATAGAACTACTAACATATGTCCATAGTTTACTTAAATACCATTTCTAAGATTCCACCCTTCAGTGTAACATATATAAACAAAATGATCCAATACAGTATTAGAGTTCTAAAGAAGCAGTCTGGTAATAGTTTACTTAAATACCATTTCTAAGATTCCGCCCTTCATTGTAGCATATATAAGCAGAATGATCCAATACAGTATTAGAACTCTAAAGAATCAGTCTGGTAATAGTTTACTAAAATACCATTTCTAAGATTCCACCCTTCATTGTAGCATATATAAGCAGAATGATCCAATACAGTATTAGAGCTCTAAGAAGCGGTCTGGTAGATTAAATTGATGAAACTGCTGGGAGGGTTCACCACTGATGAGCCAAGCCCTCACAATATTTTTTACCGCTGTAAGGACAGTAGAAGTT